TTTTTTTTTTTTGTTGTTGTTATTTGATTGTTTGTTTTCTAATGCCCCTCATTTCCTTACATGACATCTTCTCTTCAAGAATTGTGACAGACTGTGGACTAAATTCCACATGTGATGGAAACACTTTCCAGGACTTCCTTAGTCATAATTTCATCACACATCCTTCACAGGGAGGAYATTACAGTTCAGTGAATGTTCTCTCTTTTGCTTTTTTCTCTTWTACAAAACTTTTTTTGCTCCAGTTTGTTTCTAGCTACTGAAGAACTCATCAGTAAATATTACAGTGTGTGTGTGTGTGCTTGTGCACAACTCAGTKGAGGTTTAAGAGAACAATACTGTGCAAGATAAGAGCAGAATAGAGAATTCAAGGGAATTATCTAGTAATAATAATAGTCTATCAAGTTATCAAGGGAATGTTAACAAGATTATATTGAGTTCTTTTATGTTAAAAAAAAMAACAACAACCTAAAAAATGGCAACAAACAAAAAAACCCCAAAGCAAAGCTGTGGAAACCTGTTCCATGTAGCTATTTCACTAAATCTCTCTGAAGACTGTTTTTCATCTACCTCAGAGCATAGCTTGTACTTCACTTTGGTGTTAGTGCAAACTCTCCATACMCTGGCAATCTTACAGCCTACTTTTWAAAAAAAATATTAATTTTTATCCCACCAGAAGTTATTTCATATGTAGAATACAGACAACAAAGAGCAAAAAGCTGTTTCTGGAGTTCTGCTTTTGTACCCTTGCTCYCTCTCCCTCCATGGCTGTGCTGGCATAAATGTGTGAGGTGCACTTAGGTCAACTGCCCATTAAGACACAATATTTATATTGTGTTTTGTGTCCTTCAGCTCTTCAGCTTTGTTCTGTTCTTTGGGTCATTGTCTCTATTCACACTGCTGTCTTTTCTCTCTATTCCTTTTTTCATTTTTAAAGAGCATCAACAAAAAAAAAAAAATACCACTAACTCCAAAACATCACTTTTTCAGTCATTCCTGTAAATTTGTGCAGATTCTTGTTCTGACTGTGTGCTGTCAGGGTTAGACATTAGCAGTATGACTTTACTAAAAATCTTTTGTTTAGGTCCATCTATTTCATGGTATCACAAAAAAATTTGATCACAATATCACAAAAAATTTCGTTTCAGTGTATGGAAATCTGCAGCTGCAAGGAATAATTCTGCTCTTTCTCCCTTGCAGACCCTGAGAGCACTTGTGCACAGTTGCATGTGATCGGATCAGATAATTTTATAGCAGATAATCCCTTTTCACCCCCTGAATAAAGTGTTTTTCATCAAACCTGCAAGTTTATGCTGCCATGAACTCACTCATGGAGTTGGTGGATCAGGTTCAAGAAAGCAAATGTGGGTAACAGTAGGGGAAGGAAGAGCTGTGGCATTTGAAAGTAGCTCACCTTTAGGCTGGATTAAGCATTTTGTGAGATTAATCTTTTTTAACAGGGAATTTTTGGATACTGGTCGAAAACTTTTTCAAAGGAGAGAAAAAGCAAAACTCTCCAGAGCTGCCATTTTGTTCATTTAGCATATATATTTWAGAAAGATGCAAAGGAGATTCTTATCAGCAATTCCTGAAACATTGCTGTGCTATTTAGACTCAGTGGATGGATTTGTGGAGCTTTGACTGTCGTTTGAACATTATAAAATAATTATGGTGTGATTGAGATAGTGTCTCATTATAAGTTTTTAAATTAACATTTCTTCTAATGCTTTGTTCCTTGCTATTCACTACTATCACAAAGTGAAGCAAAATGGAAAAGAAGTTGAATTGAAAGAAATTGATGAAAAAAAGGATGAAAAATACAKGCATGAAAACTTTCTGTTTGGAGAAGCGTGTTATCTTATAAATTAGTATTAGGGTGGGAAAACCCACTCAGATTTATRTTCAACATGTAAAAAATGGTTCTGTTATCTCAAAAAGGAAGCTATTTTAAACACAGTCACACTGCAGTGGTTTGTACTGTTCATCAGATCTTRTCCTCTAACTCAAAAAAAAAAAGCAAAAGCAGGAAATACATTATAAAAGAGTATGTACATACTTTWAAATTTCTTAGAATTAACTTACTATCTTTCAGCTACTACCTTAATACCAAACTTAAAACATTTATAGTATCAGAAGTTTCCAGCTRTATTGCACAAATGAGAAGTTGGAATGCTAAATAAGACTGGATTTTAGCATTTTTTTTGTTTTCAGAATTTAAGCACCATAGAAACATGTTTAGTCTAAAAGGATCTTTCAGACACTGATCTAATTATTGGTGGTGTTTGGACATTCCTGGAGTGTAAGGTGCTTGGTATATCTTGCCCAGTAAACTCATGTTAAACAAGTTACTATGTCCAACTGCATCCCAGTTAGCTTTTGGAAAGGTGCTGTAAGTACAATTCAAAATGTTGGACTTTTGAAAAAGCACAGMTTGTTTTTAATAAAAAATGTTTTATTTTATTAGCTGAATTATTTGTGGGTGTTTTTCAAATAATACCATTCTAAGCCCTGATGTCTGAATTTCTAATTTTGGTAGGTAAACGTTGGAAAAATGGATTCTCCCATTGAGAAATGGAACCTAATAATTGGCAATTTGGCCTTAAAACAGGTAAATAKAATGGGTTTATTTTATTAATTCTTGTAAGTGAGTGAAGCTATTGAAAGAGTTAAATCACAAACTGAGAAGTACAGAGATGCACAGTGTTAATAGGAAACGAGCTCTGCTACACTGGATCTTCTCTAATACAATATGAGCTTATATTTATTAGAAGATGAGGTAAAGTATTAGTTGTGACTGTACCAAGTGTATTGCCTTTATAATTTTTTCTGAGAAAGGATCTGAGGATGATTAGAGAAAAATTTCATATCTGGCAAAACCTTTTAAATTTGACCTTCTAGTACTGTATTTGCATTGGATTCAATGTTTAAAGGAAATATGTGATAGAGCTTTTGGATAATAAACAATATTTTAAATAGCTGGGTCATTTGAGAAAAGGAGTGCCTGTTTTTCAAAGCAGCTATTGCTTAAGATTGAGAACTATTTATTGTTCATAAGTTATAATGTAACTTGTTCAAAAAATAAATGAAATATTTATGTTGTGACTTCATTATTTTAAGTGGTTTAGAAGCTTCTTTAGGAATTGGCTTCTCATAAATCTTGAGCTCCTCTCCTTAATTTTAGTTTTGCTATTCTGCAGTSTGTAAAATGCTGGTAAAGCCTTTTCTGCTGGCCTCAGATTTTTCTTCTTAATCATTCAGATTTRTCATCCTCTCTACAAAATGGATGAGCATGCTCCTGCTATACCTGGCATGCAAATGTAGGAAGGAAGAAGGGCCATTATTTTACAAATTGCTCACTTTCTTTTGCAGGTYCAGGCAACAGTAGTTGGTTTTCTGGCAGCAGTGGCAGCAGTGATATTGGGCTGGATTCCAGAGGGCAAATATCGCTTTGATCACTCAGTCCTTTTGTGTTCCAGCAGTGTAGCAACTGCCTTCATAGCTTCTCTTYTACAAGGTAAAGGGAGTGGATGTGCTCCTTCTTGCAGTTATTTATTTTTCTGTGGATGCTGAATGTGTATTTTGTTGCTATTCCTTTAAAATTTAAATCCAGTGAGGTTTAATACATCTGAAATCCAGCCTAGGTTAAGATGCTCTTTTGCAATTTCCATGTAGGCAGGCATATTGAATTCCTCTCATTTTACAGACTTTGTAAAGCTTTTGATTTGCATGACCTCCTGAGCATATCTAAACAAAAAAAAATAGGATTTTAGATTTCACCTAATACAATGGAGAACTTTTCTGCTTTCTCTATTCATTAATGTWCAAATTATATTCTTAGCACTAAGCAGGTAAAACTTAATTATAATTAAACTCAAGAGATCTGGGATGTTAGCTTAGCTGATYTCAATATTCCAGGTTGCCCATGCTGCTCCTGTGGTAGTTTGTGCTCTGCTTTGTGTCTGAAGTGAGCAATTTGGCTCATTATTTGAAGGGTTTGGACCAAGTTCAAGTCCTGCTCTACAAACAGTGCCAGTGTCTGTCTGGAGCAATATGGCATGATGAATTTAATATTCTCTTCCTAATTGTCAGGAAACATTTAACCATAAAAGATTGTACTTAATGGGCGTGAAGGGGAGGAGGAAAATACCTCTGGTTGTGACATGTTCTTAATGAAAATACATAGACAGTGGACTCAAGAACAGTTAGTCAAGTAAAATAAGTAAATTATTTTACTGCTTTGATATGCTGATTTATGTGAAAATTGCAAAATGGTTGAAGTTTTACATGGAATTAGGAACACACAGTTTTTAGTGACTRGAAAGCCATCGAGTTTGGTCTTGTGCAAAATCAAGGACAACAAGAGAACTGGGAAATGTGCATTTTTTACACTTCTCCTGTGTGATTTGGACATGAAGGGAAACTTTAGTTACCTGAAGATGGGCCAGTACAGGAAATCCCTTTCCAAGCTTCATCCTCCAACACATGGAACAGGTGCTTTTGAGATGCTGTGATCCTACAGGATCATTCCAGTTCTTTTGAGAATTTCCTGCTGTATAATCAATCCTTAGGCAGTTTCTCTGAAAGTAAACTCTAATATAGCCCATAATACATAATATAACATAGAGGATAGCATGGGCAGCTGAAGCTCTTCTATAAAATATATGATGAGAGGGGGACTCACTCACATTGTTCCAAAAACTGCCAGTAACAATGTAAATTTTATTTTTAGTAGTAGCCACTTGCATTTTTGCTGGGAGATTACTCTTCAAAAGTTAGTGTTGCTGTTTATAGGGCATACAGAAATCAACACCTTTAATTATTTTTTAACTGTGTAGCAAGTAACATTTTTTATATGTTGTCTTGGTTTTAATTGACCATTTAGCTTCTTGATGTTTTGTGCTACTTTCATGACAATCTTGCACAATATCAGATGTCAAAGTATTTAATCTTMCGTTGTTTTCAGCCTAGGCTGRTTTAAATTTCAGTCAGTCYGAKTTACCAGGTTTGGAAAGCAATACATTTTGTATTTTTTCTTCAGGGAATAGCTGCTTTACAATTTCAATAGTGCTAATTTGAGTCTGTAAAGTAGTTTATTGTACAGATGGTTCTTGATTTTTTTTTTTTGTGTGTGTTCACTGTATTTTTTTTAAATGCATGAGTCCATTTTTTAAAATGGCTAAAACTTAAAAATAGTCACCAATCAGGTGGAAAGAACACTCATCCTGGGAAAAAATGCACTGACTCTTATTCATTAAGTTTGAAATGATCTTAAACTTGGAATTTTCTATGGAATGACAGCAGTAAGTGTTCTTTGTTGAATTTAGGAGTTATAATGGTTGGAGTTATTGTTGGATCTAAGAAGACTGGCATTAATCCTGACAACGTTGCCACTCCTATAGCAGCAAGTTTTGGAGATCTCATCACCCTGGCTATCCTGGCCTGGATAAGTCAGGGTCTGTACACTTGCCTTGGTAAGTTGTGCTTTTAAATATGTACAACTCCACAGGAACCTGCCTTGGGTTGGGAGAATGGGAAAAAAAGCTGGGAGGGAGAGGTTCAGCAGAACTTTTGGTTTGACTGATTTTTTTTTGTCAACAATTGTACCATGAAATGGGTTATACCATGATTTTTTTCCCCTTTTTTTTTTTTTTTTTATAAACCATAGAACTCACTAACCATGAACTTTAGCACAATCTAGGAATATCTGAAAGACTTTGACAAAATCATAGTCAATCTACAGGTGAATTACAAACCGTGGCAATGAAGAAACAAAAAATGTGAAAATATTTTCTCATATTTTTTATATCTCAATATAAATTAATATCTCAAATATTAATATCTCAATATATATCTCAATATCTCAAAATATTTTTCTGGGAAAAGAACGTTGACATTATGCAAAATCAAATCATTGCTGCAACTGTCTCATTCCATAGAAGCTATTAAAAGTTTATTGTGGTTTAAAAAGCATAATTGTAGACAATTCTAGATAATATACCACAGATAAAGGTATCTAATTAAACACTCAAGCTACCATGGTGTAACTTGCAGTTGYTTTTTCAGTATTTGAGCTTTCATATCTAGAAAGGGTTAACATGATGCCAGTTTAAATGTCTCAGTGTGCAAAGAAGGAATTTTTCGTATTTTCTGTATTTTTGTTAAAACTGAAATAGTACTGTTTATTTCATAACTATATTATATTCTGATAACTATTTCTCATTTCCTTTAAATGCTTCTTTTAAGGAAATTTGTAAATTTACAGAGAAAATTAAGATATTTTTTAGCATTTCTTCTTTCTTCTTCTGATGAGAAATACAGAGAAGAAGCCTCTATTTTAGTGAAATTTAGTGTTCCTAGCTAACACTAGGGCTGGGATAATAATTAGAGTTTATTTTATTAGAGTCTAGTTTATCTAGATTTGTTGCCATGCCCCAAAATCTTAATAGACAGGAACATTGGGTTTTTTTCTGCTGAAAACAGATTTCAGACCCTGAAAATTGATATATTTGATTGTAATTTGGTTCAAAATGAGGGTTTGTACTCATCAGTGATGTGCCAGGAATGTGGGGCAGAGGGGAGAATTGGAAAGGATTTTTGGCAGGTGTGGGAATGTTAAAAAGAAACTGGTGGGGTTCACTTCTGAACTGTGCTCAGAATTAACTTTTTCCCCCTGTGATTTATTTGCCTAAATAATGAAATGGTCTCAAACAAAAGTTTAAGTTTCTGGCTGATCTCTGCATGGGATGAGTTGTTTTCAGACAACAAGACTGGAAGGATGGAAATTTTCTGTGTCCAGGCTTTATGTTTGTCTGTAACAGAGGTGTRCAGCCTTTGGTTTGATAAAATACTTTATGGCATTCCCTGAAGAGACAGGGGGAAAACTGCAGCTTTTTTACCTAGGCCAGGGACAAATGAAAAAAAAAAATGCTTTAAATTTAATATTTTAAATTAATTAAACCTCATTTGACCACCAGCGTATCGATAATTTCTTAAAGGTTCATCTGAACACTTTCAAAATAGTGACAAAGTTATCCAASACTGGGATTTAATCAGTAAAAGGTGAATTTTTGTTAAATAGTTGGGGAAAGCACTAGAGGGCTCCCCAGGACCATCCAGCAGAGCAGGAGAAATGCTCTGGAACAGAACATTTCCACCCAGKAAATTAAATGTGGAGCTCTGGATGCATTTGTCATTGGTTGGTAATGATCAGAAAACTGTAAAGCTTTCCATTTTTTCTCATAGAACGTGAATTTRGCTCCTGTGCATGTTGGATGTGGGTTAAGAGGATAAATTGTGTGATTCACATTTTTGTTTTCAGGTTCCTGCCTGTAGTTTTAGAAGCAGTGTATTTCCAGTTTATCTCTCATTTCTACTAGAGGCCACATTTTTTTTTGAGCTACCTGCTGTAAATCCAACAAAAATGGAGTGAAATGAGCCCTAAAAGAGAAGCCATTTATTTCCTCTTCCCATTCTCCAGCTATTGCAGAATGCATTTGCTTCTTCTGTGAGTTAAATATGAAGAGGAAGACGTCTGTCCTTCCTTTAAAGGTGCATCTCAAGGTTAATCTCATTAATTTAGGGAGCCTCCAGAATTTTGCTTTTAGAATTTTAGCACTGATCTAAGAGATKATTTAATCCAATTCAAGTTATGAATCTTAAAAATAGAGTGGTTGGCTGCTATTCTRTGGTCTTTGTTAGACAAGAATTCAGTTTTTCACCTCTTCACAGGAAGAGGTGAAAGGAGGCAAAAAAAGCCCCTTCCAAAAAAAGGAAGAGGGAGATAATGCTCTGTAGRATAATGAAGAGGGAGATAATACATTGTGGAATAATTAGATAGAGAAAAGAAGAAATTACTTGTCTTTTGGGCTTTGCYTTGTTCTCATTCTAATAGGTTTCTGCTTTTAGTTTGCCCAGGGAAACATAACTCACTGTGTTTTCTGCTGGCTCTGTGCAGAGGTTGTTACTCAGTGCAGAAGGATRGTAACTTCTAAAAATTCTACAGCAATTCTTTCAGGAGATCCACTKAGGTAACATCAAAGCAGTAATTATTGGAATTTGCAACCATTGTAATAAGGCAGAGTGCATGGTGAGAATACTTTCTACGTACCAACTACTCCTCTTTGGTGAAATGTTTGTATGATCTGTATTAACTATTTCACCATGTTAATTTAAAACCTATTTTTGCTGTAAGACTTATCTGAATTTTGAAGGTTTCAACAAAATGTGTCTCAGCATTAGGTATMTGACCACACTCCTCATAAAACAAATATTTAAAAGTGGAATATTTGCACAGTTTGGACATATATATTTGCCATGAGGATAAATTTTCTATTCTTTACCTCACTGTTGGCTTAGGAAGTCTTGGATCACTRTAGTAGTTTCTGTGAGGATGGGATTATAAAACCAAGTAATCAGAAAAAAAATCAGCATTTGTTCTGTGGAAGCAGCAGTTCACTTTACAGTCTCAGCTTTCTGATGGTACTCACAGTGTTTGCAGTTGTATTCCTGTGAAACAGGATGGAATTCTCATGGATCAATTCTCAAAAGCAGAATTGCTTCTTTATTTTCAGACTCAGACTGGCTRTGAAAAACTGAGCTATCAGTATAAATGTCTCAGTGTTGCACATTGTGCTTTCCTCCTTTTAGATAAACTGTTTCTGGAATCATTCCCATATTACCTGCTTTGGGAAGAAGGGAGTGTGCATGTGCTAAGAATCTGGGTACAAACCAAATGCATTTTCATTATATTCAATTTCTTTTTGAAMTTTTTCTTTAGATACAAAATAATGTTTTATATTCTGCAGTTACAAAGTAGTGTTTAATGTTCTACATCCTTACGGGTTTTTTTATCATAAAGTGYTTTACAAAAATCCTTTTCAAAATTCCTTCTTTGCACAGATGTTCTSTCCTTGAAAAGATGAGAGACAGTGATCACAGATGGCAGATATGAACCATATTGTCCAGATGTAATAGTGATGAAGACTGTTCAAATTCCTCAATTGTATGGCATTGATCAYAGTTTATTTTAGAATTCTAATTTAATTCTAAACTAAGATAAATTCTAAATTAAGATAAACATCTAGGAATATCTGGAGAGTAAAAAAAATGGTTTTTTTTTTCTTTATTATTTTTTAGAGACATATTCCTACGTATCTCCTTTGGTTGGTGCCTTTTTTTTGGCTCTGACTCCGATGGGGATTGTCATAGCTGCCAAACACCCAGCTACCAGAACTGTCCTCCATTCAGGATGGGAGCCTGTCATCACTGCCATGATCATAAGCAGGTCATTCTGTTTGTCTTCTTTCATGGATATCTCCATGTATCTTACTTGATTGCACCTCAGAGAAATATTTAGGGAAGCCTCCAGAATTTTGCTTTTAGAATTTTAGCACTGATCTAAGAGATTATTTAATCCAATTAAAGTTATGAATCTTAAAAATAGAGTGGTTGGCTGCTATTCTGTGGTCTTTGTTAGACAGGAATTCAGTTTTAATAAGTCAATAGCTATGGTGATGTTAAATCTATAGCTCAGAATGAGGTAATGGCTCAGGGGAAAGAAGAAATGAAAATTGGGGCTTGAACATATTCTAGGTCAGATTGCTATTAAAGTGTTTAAATGCTAATTAATGGCCCTGCTTGCCTTATTTTGAATATTGTACTTTGTTTTTCAGTATTGGTGGCCTTATTCTGGACACAACTGTATCTGACCCTAACTTGGTTGGAATTGTTGTTTATACCCCAGTAATTAATGGTAAGACTCTGACAGGATTATTTGCTGCTCTGGATCAGTTGATGTGCCTTGTTTTGAGAATTGTCTAGTACAGTAAATTTCTCTTGTGCTAATTAGTATGTGGTACATTAATTTCAATTTTGATTTTGATGGTAACACCTGTTTATTTGAACACCTAAGAAGTRCTTCCTGTTTTTCCTACAACCATTAAAACATGATAGAGAATGTGAGAAGTAGAAACCTCAAGTATGCATTAAGAAACTGAAAGTGTAAATATTGGAGTAGTATATTCAAATATTAAATTATCAAATATTATATTGAAGCAGTTATGGCTGGGGAAAATATAGATGAAATTTTATCTCAAAGGATTTTTTTCTGAACATCCAAGGACAAATTTTCAAACAATAATTTACTATTGACATGCAATGTGTRTAGATATAAGAACTAACAAGCACGCTAGAGGCAAGTAAATAACATTTCTCAAGAAAAAGGAATGTGTTTCTGATGATTGGTTTGAACTTTCCAGATGCGTAACAATGAATTTGTGAATATTGGGACCTTAACTTGTGCTCTATCTTCTAATGATAAGAACAAATTTTATAAGAACAGTTCATGTCTTATTAGACTGGTGCACTTTGAGAATGCTTTTCTTTCCTGCTGCAGTACACAGGGTTGATTTAATTTATTTAGTTTGCAATAATTAGATTTATTTAGTTTGCAATAATTATAATCACCGGGTCGGCTCCCACTATTTTGCTGGCTAGCTGTTCTTTCCCCTTTTTGGTTTTTATTTGATTTCTTACATCAATTTGCACTCTGATATATTGTTGTTAAAATCATTTCTCCAGTCACCARGATGATTCTGTTTTAACTTAAACTGGCCCTTGCAAATTCCATATGAGAGTATGTTCTCTTCTTTTTTCTAAGCTATAAATTAAATGAGTTATGTTCCCTTCTTTTCCACCTTGATAATAAGATGTTAATATGATCACTGAGTTTTTGATTTAAGCCACATTGCCCTGCCATAATTAATTTTCCAGAGGTTGTTAATGGAAGTGTAGCACTGGATATTATACTGAAACATTTTGAGAAGCTTTGTTGTGGTTGAAGGTTCGTAGATCTATTGCTGCAGACATTATACAAGTTCAGTTTGAGGCTGTGACAGAAATATCTTCTTGGCAAATTCATGTTAGCCCTTTTTTTATGCTTTCACATATTCTGGATGCTTTCAAATTGTCTTTTTAATAATTTGTTCTAATTCTTACATAGGGAATATAAATTTTACTGATATACAAATTCTCTGTATCATCCTTTTTGACCCACTTTAAAGATATATTTTCTGTTTTCTCTATTACAGTCCTCAGGTATTCTGTAACCTAAGATAATCAGTTTGCAAAAATGATCACTAACACTTGAKGGATCTACTCTCTAGAGGCAGTAAATTTAATTTAACCCCCAGGCCCTGGTGTGTATCTACTTGTGATCAGTATCACCATTTTCATGAAGGCAGTAGACAAAAGGAACCTTTTTTTTCATTCACATCCTATATTTCCTTTCTTCTTGCTTTTAGCATGAAACATTTCTATGTTGCCACTTGTGTTCCTCTCTGACTTTAAATTAATTTTTACACCACAACCATTATGTTGCCTTGCCTGTTCTTTGGTTTTTTTTTTATTAATTCAAAATTGCAAGTATTTGCATCTAACTTCTGTGTGTTTCCATTTTGATTTCCAGATACTTAAAAGGCAGGGCAGACATGTTGATCTTCAACTTTTTTCTGCTTTACACCTGTAACTTTTCTCATAGTAGTCCTTTTTTTGGTAATCCCCTGGATTTGCTTCCTAAGAGAAGAGGATTGTTTTTTGATTTTTAGGCAGGTGTACCCAAACAAATATTAAGGCAATACCCAYATATCTTTTTGAACTGTCTTTATAGGGAAAGAACTAGAAAAAAAAATTATATATCCCTGGAGGTTTAGCTGACAGTCAAAAGATCTTGGAAGAGTTAGGGAGGTGGAAGAGAGGGAAAGCTGAGGCCACTGGAGCAGACAAGGAGAAAAAAAGAAACTTTGCAGGGGTCAGGAGAGCAAGAAGTGTGCTTGACTCAGAATTCTAAAGGTCGAGGCATTTCTGTTGGAAAACACAGAGAAAATTCATTCTGTGCAGAGGATGCAGAGTTTTATGGTGCACCTCCTGGAAAAGGAAATTGTAGGTAGGTAATTTTTTTTGGATTTGCTGTTAGATTAGCCTCTGCTGGGTTTCATAATTCTGCTGACACCTTTTGATATTGCTGGTCAGGGCAGTGCAGTAAACCAGGGTTAGGAAATCCTTCAGTTAAAACTCATTTACTGACATGAAAGGTGTGTTAGGTCACTTCACAGATGGCTTTTAAAATATTACTGTTGCAGAAACTTTTCTCTACCTGTGTTTTCTTGGCATTGGAATTCTCATTCTAAATCTAAGTAATGAGAGAAAACAAGGGGTTTTCCCATTTTATTTTATTTTGCCTGAAAGTTTGTTGCTCCTATGGCACAGAAAACCTGGGAGGAAACAACAACAGGGAAACCACCATTTCAAGTGGACTTTTTTTCCATTTTCCTTAAATCTTTTATCTCATTCAGTTTCCCTTGTTGTTAACTAGGGGGAAACATCCAGAGCATCTATCGTATTTCTGAGTGTCTGAATTTATTGAAGCAAATAATCATCAGTCACAAAAGGAAATTACAGACATCCTAGGAAATACTTCAGATCTAGGGAGTTGTGCCAAAGTGCATTTGCATTGCTACAAAACTCAAACCAGCCCTATGTACTCCTGTCCTTTATTTCTTTTTGTAGTACTGTGAGAGAAGCAGATAGTGACAGAATATTTTACTRTTTTTTTCTCTTAATATTGTTGTGAATGTATCAGTTATTGCAGTTGTCAGCCTGATTGTAATTACCCAGACTGCCTTTATGTCCTCTTTTTTAGCAGGARCTGTTTCATATTTTCCAGTCATATGGCACCATCCCCTGTTTTGTAGCACCATTAAGAAGCAATTTTACATAACAGCTTTTTCATAAATCAGTCWCAGAAATTATCTGATCCCCATCTAAATGTAATGCATTGATCCTTAATTTTATTTCTGCCTCTCTTTCTGTACCTTATTCTCCTCAGTCAGAAATCTGTAATTTATTGTTCTCAATTGAAGGACAGACTTTGAATCCAACTTAGATTGATTTTAGTATTTTTTAACTACTGATAGATTAGATAAATCCCTCACTTGGCTGCTTTTTCTGCAGGTCACCTGAAAAAAGAACTACTGTTAAATTTCTTTGCAAACTCTGACTCAACCTTTTGAGTAGTATTTTCTTTTTTTTTTTCTTTCCTATTTTAGTAGCTCATATTTTATCCCTGTATCTCCTGACTGGGAACATGCATTTCCTGATTTGTATCTGAAGATTTTGCTTAAAAGACCTATTTTCTTGTTAGGTTCATCCATTTGCTCTCTTTAGGCAGCTTCTTTCTGATCTCAGTATTAGATCTTTGTGCTAAGCACTCCAAATTCACCAAAAGAATTTGGCAAATAGTGGCTTCTGGTCACCACAAATACCTGTTCTGCAACCAGACAAAGCCCTAAGTGTCAGATAAATTAATTTAACTACAATAAACAAGGGCTTTCTCCTTCTGAAGTGGGGACAAGATCTGAATTGCTTCTGCCTTTTCTCAGAACAACCCATTGCTGTGGAAAGCATCTGAAGTGGGGGAGAGGAAAAGCAARTGCTTGATATGCAAGAAGACAGAGAGTTTGATGTTATTGCATTCTRCAGTGTAGATAGAAAAAGCTGCTTCAGTTTTGTGTTCTTTGAAGTAAAAATTCATAGAATGTGTAAGGCCAGAGTGGAAGGAACCTGGGAATGTCATCTGGTCCAATGTTTTGTGAGAAAGGGAGCCCAGATGAGATTTTCCAGTCTAGAAAACCTCCAGTGAAGTGGACTCCACCATATTGATGCCTCAGGATTTTTAGTTTCTATATTTTCATGTATCTGTATTCTTGTACTTCTCCAGTGTACAGCACTAAARMYCCTGTTTTATCTTTAGACAAAACAATTCCTCTCTGAGCCTGAAATCCAAGGACACTTCACTGCCTCAGAGCCCCAAAATATGGAAACAACAGAGAATTGGGGGGAGCAAGATTGGGGTGGGTGACATCATCACCTGAAGGTGTCACTGGAGAATTGGGGTCTGATGTGTTAATAGGACAGAACTTAAAAATGTGAAGATCTCGTGGCTCAGGGTCCATTTTGGGTGTAGCCTCAGGAGGAGGCTTTGTCTGCCCTTAATGCACCAGCAGGCCTGGATTAAAATTGTCTMGTTTTATTCTCTTAATTTTCATCTGGCCTCTGTTTCAGGTGAGCCTTTTTTAGGCATCAATATCCCTGGGKTGRTTGTTCCAGTCARTGATTGTTCTCATGATAAGAAATTTCTTTCTTGTATTGAGATGAAAGCTCTGCTGCTGCAACTTGTGCCCRCTGATGCTTRTAAGAARGAAAGAAAATAGAATCATCACTATAATTCCTTTAAAAATCAGCTATTCAGACACTCATCTTGTTCTTCCAGCCTCAATTATGAGTGGCAGAAGACTATAGTTAATCCTGCTTTGTGTCAGAGGAGAATGAATATAWTAATTTTTGAAGCCTTTTCAGGCCCTATGGTTTTGTGTGTGAAATCTGCATTTGTGCTTATATTATTATTATTTGTGCTTGCTAATGAGAGTGAGTGCATCTGCTTTCACTRCTTAAACTGGCCAGGAATACTGACCTGGGAAATCCAGCAGTGGCACAACTGTGTCACAATTCTGCTGTTCCAAGAGGGATTTCTGAAGAAAAGGGAGTGATAAAAGGGAATTTCACCTATGAGAAAGCAAAAGATTGAAACCTTTAGAAGATTTTGATTTTTTTTGTACTTACTGTGATTCCAAACTAATCTCCAAATATCCAGTGGTACACCAAACTGTAGCCCAAGGTTTTTTTCACTTATTCTAATGCTTGATAAGCTCTCTATAACTAATACACATTCTAAAGACATTTCTCGTTTTGACTTTTATACATAAGGTAAACTTTGAGGAAGTYGGTACATGTGCAAAAATATTGCAAAAAAAACCAACTTAAAGTTTTCATTTGTCCCTGATTGCATTTCAGGTATTGGTGGCAATCTAGTMGCTATTCAAGCTAGCAGAATTTCTACCTACCTCCATTTACACAGCATTCCTGGAGAGCTGCCAGAGGAAGCCAAGGGCTGCTATTACCCCTGCAGAACATACAGTGGTACAGGTATGTGTTGTGTCACCCCCTGTGTGTCACACTGTGCCACCAGGACAAATGGCACTGTGAGAATCACAACAAACTCCCTGAGGAGTGGCTGAGAGGAGCAGAGAGGGCTGGTGAGGCAGGACACTGAGATACCCACCCAGAAATGTTTCAGCCTTCAGCTTTCCTCAGCTTCTCTACCTGCTCTCAACTTTTATCTGCCTTCACAACTTCAAACCAATTCCCAATTAGGGACAAACATTATATCAGATGTTATTACTGAGCCAAATCCCTGTTTTCCATTTCCAATTTGCTGTTTTCTTGCTCAATTCTTTCTTCACTGCTTGTTCCTCCCCTGTATTTCCCACTTTCCTTTTCCTTTGTGGTGAAATGTGAGGTGTCACCACCATGTGTTACACTGCCACATTTATTAAATGAATCAAAACAGATGTGGAAGTGGTGAATGTGGGAAATATAGAAATAGAAATGTACCTTGTAGAAATATAAGGTACTTTTGAGGATGTCTTGAACACAGAATCCCAAAGATCCTCTTTCCTAGTAAGGCTTTAGGAGGTCACTGCAGCTCCAAAAATGTTGATGGTATTACGTGAGCACAAAATGAAGGCAGTTTGAACTCTTTTCCAGAAGGGCTCTGCTTATCTTTTCTGGGAGACAGTGAAATTCCTCAAGGAGTTTTTTAGTGGAAAATAATGCCTGCTCTTCCACAGTGCTCAACGCTGTGGAATTCCAAAAATGGCAGTGTTTTTATATTAAAATGAATAAAAATCGAATACAGTAATTGAAGAGGTTAAACAATTTTGTTTTGGTTTTTTTTTTTTTCTTATTGTAGGAGTAAATAACAAATCAGCCCAAGTTCTGCTTCTTTTGGTGATCCCTGGACACCTGATTTTCTTGTACACCATCCACCTGATGAAAAGTGGGCACACTTCCTTAACCCCCATCTTTATAGCAGTGTATTTGTTTGCAGCTCTGCTCCAGGTAAGAACAAATACAACTGCAAAATGCTTCTGTAAAATCCAGTTCTTGAAGGAAATCATGGTTTTTCTGATGTCTGGAATCTCATGCATGGTTCAGGCAGGTATGGGTTCATCCAGGCTTGCAGCACAGCTCTGAAGTAGCTGATGATCTCCACACATTTTGAAAAGYATTTTGTTGTGCTTTTCAGAACACATTTGTGTGCATTATTTCCTTTTCATGCTTTTGGAACCATTGCATCTAAACCCCCATCATCTTAATCAACTAGAGGGGAAAATAGAAAGAAGGGAGGGGAAATGGAAAGAAGGAAAGCTTGCATTTATGMATAATAAATACACCAAGGAAAACTCTTCAAGAAATCTTCTAAGGTGGTTTGCATTACTGATTAAGTTAACATAGTCCAGTAGATGAAAATATTACACCTTCCTTGGTGTCAATATTTATAAAAGTTTAAATTAGTATGACAACGAACACTGTACAAGAAATCTTAATTGCATTAATTGTCAAACTTTGTTACCTTATTTGGCTCTTTTTATATAGGGGTCTGTTCACACCCAGCGAGGGCAGTTCTTGAAAGATGCCCTTTGAAACAGAAATGTCTCAAGGTGAAATAATTTCACTTTGAGAAATCACTAATACCAAATTACGTGTTTTTATTAAAACCACACCCTCTTTKTAGGTATAATCAGCCTGAATTAATTATAATTCTTCAWTGCACCTTAAAACCAAAAAGTGGCTGTTGATRTTACATGATAGAGGTGTAGTTGAAATATCCATAATTTAAATATACATACTGCTTCGAAAAATGTGACCTGTTTAGTTTTAGAATACAAACAACATGATCAACAGGTCAAACCTGAATAAAATTATCATTTTCAATGTTCTGAATTGTCCCATTGTTTATGACACAACTATTGCAATAAGGACAGGTTTCAAATTGCTATTTCATGTGAGGATTTTACACCTTTTTGGTAGAATATAACTGGTAATGTTCCAACCTCTGCAAGTGAGAGTGTCATACTAGAAGACAAAAATTATTTTTCATTTTCCTCTTAGATAATATTGCTAGTTTCCAGACTTATCACTTGTTTTATAATGTGTTTTCCTGAGGAAATGATGCTATTCCTTTATCTGCTCTGTCTGGGTTGGGGAAAAATCCCTGTTAATGTAAGAACTGCAGTGTGATTTCAGTCAATATTGACTTCAGGGATTTCCCATGGGAATCAGCCTGAATTCATAAATCCAGTCYTCCTGCTCACACAACTGCAACCATAACATATTTAGGGACACTTTTTCTTCAGCAGCAAGACTGGAGAAATGCAGAATCTCACCTGAAAACCAAATTAAGGCATCCAAATGACACAGTAGTTCAGACTCAGTAACAGCACAGGTGTAAAGCTGCATTTTCATAAATTCAGGATCTGATTAAAGTATCCACTTTTGCAGTCATGTACATAGGGCCACACCTGATTTTCTTCATTTTTCTGTTATAAAGCAGATAAAGAGCTTTTTTCTTCTTTTTTTCCCTGCTGCCTTTTAAGGATTAYTTTTTCCTCTTTATCTTCTACCTTTAGTCATAAAAGGCATTTTGAGTTGAATCTGCTTTGAAACTGAGTAACAATACTGCAAACTATAATTTCTCATTGGTCTTGACATATTTACAGTTTGAAGCACCTTAGATTTTAAGACCTTCTAGAGCTATTTACTCGATTCCTTTCCCAATTTGAATTATTGTGGCATTTTTCTAGTAGTGATTATTGTAGTGTTGCCACCTCCAATTAGAGCAGATTTAAAGTTTTCAGAGAGGCCAGGCTTGCTTTAATCCTTAAATCTGAAACACATTTTATTTACCTGTTGGTCTGAAGTACTTTAGTGCTGCAGTTTCATGCTTTTAAGTTTCTCTTTCTTGAGGAAAACACTTAAATGTTTGTACTCATTCCTGTTCCCTTTTTCAGAGACATCAACTATGCACCTGAATATCGTAAAAAAAACCAGTTTCCAAGCTGCCATTTCTTTTTGGCATAACTTAACACCTCCTGATCTTATTTTTCCACAATTTTTTTATATTTTTTTCCTCCCAGTGAGAGCTTTTCCAATTCTGCTGAAAAACTGAAAAAGATCACAGCTAGGTGTTATTATTTCAATTAACAACAAATCCATTGACAGTGTTTTTAGCAGAGAGACATCTGCATTTTAGGTCTTTTCTATAATATATTGGGCTTTGTGTTTATTTTCACTTTGCATGGAAGGTATATGAAAATTGATGTCAAAAACTCCTCTTTGTGAAATGTATCTTTATGTTTGAGSTGGTAGATGATAATTTTAGTGATTGTCATGAATTGTTATGAATTCAGTGATTCCCAGAGGTAACTATTCTTTAATTATAGTCAGTCCTGTGAGGAGATTTGGTATCCCTGCTTTGCCCTTTGCAATTCCTTRCTTTTTTGGGGCTCTGAGGCAGTGAAGTGTCCTTGGATTTCAGGCTCAGAGAGGAATTGTTTTGTCTAAAGATGAGAGAACAGGAGCTTTAGTGCTGTACACTGGAGAAGGACAATAATACAGATACATGAAAATATAGAAATTAAAAATCCTGAGGCATCAGTGTTTGAAAGGTCTGAGTTAGTGAAGAGTMGTGAAGAGCCTGTTCTGTGTTTCTGAATGGCAGCACCAGAGGAAAATACAATTTAAAATGTTAGGGAGATTGGATGCCCTCTGAGTATGTAAAGTCCTCCACACAGTGCATTGTACAGCACTGGGGCAAGCCAATGTTCCTAATRCAACCCAGAAAAATGATTTTAAGTGGGTTTTAGATTTGATGAGCAGCTTCTGTTTCAGAGAAATACTCTTCCCTTGGAAACCCTACAAACACAAGCCACAAACATGTGCCGGCACTGTTACAACATGGCATTTGGCCAACAAATATTCTATTAATTGGGAAGCAGTCCTCCTCTTGGACCTCACAAAGTATTTTTTAACAGTATGAGGCCTGAATTAATTATAATTCTTCATTTCACCTTAAAACCAAAAAGTGGCTGTTGATGTTACATGATAGAGGTGTAGCTGAAATATCCATAATTTAAATATACATACTGCTTCGAAAAATGTGAACTGTTTAATTTTAGAATACAAACAACATGATCCAAGCAGAGTTTCATCCCCAGCCTGCAGCAGAAGGAGAGSAGCTCTGGAACTGTGAGCTGTCAGTCCTGGCACAAAGGCAGCCTCTGTTCTCACTGAGCCACTAAAACACCCTGGGAGGAATTTTCACACCTACTGCCCAAATCTGAGCACAGAGTAATGTTAAAATCTTGGGGAATAAACAAACAATAGGAGATTCCCAGAGCTATTACCCAGCAAATTCCAAAATTCTTCTTACCCAATGAAGGTCAGATGTGACAGCTGAAGTCACCTTGCAGAGCTCCAGAGCTGCTTGGGGCAAAGACAAAACCAAGAATTCATTCAGTGACTTCCTGCTCACATCAAAAACCTCTTGGATTTCTCACCAGTGTGAGGATTCTAACGATGGCATGGGCCTCTTTCATGTGGAAACAGAACTCGTGGGATTTCCTGTACATTACAGAGAAAAAAAGGAAAGTTGTGTTTACGGACAAAATATTTCAAATATTGCTTTTTTTTTTTTTTTTCTAACAGGAAAGGTTATTTCCTAAAGATAGAGCGTGTAACTGCTAAAGAGACTGTATTTCTAGGAAATATGGAAACTCAAATCCAAATGTGGACAGTTCAGTGTTTTCTCACTGCAGCATGACAAGCAGATTTGCCAGACTCGTTGGGGTCTGACTGTGGCTATCAACAGCCCCTTCCTTTCCTTGCTGTCAGTGGTAGAAGCCCAGCTCCTACCAAATTAGAGCAGGGATTTATCATTTTTGCCTCCACAAGGCTGAGCTCAAAGTGCTTGTGTACACAGGATGGCACACGAGTTGTGCTGTGCCTGAGCAGAGCAGAGAATTTACAGGTCTGGCTTCCACATCCCTCAGATAGCTGAGAAACAGCCTGAAATTGGGATTGAAAGAGCCTGAGATTAGGATTGAAAGAGCCTGAGATTAGGATTGAAACAGCCTGAAATTTGGACTGAAACATCCTGAATTTAGGATTGAAACAACCTGAGATTAGGACTGAAACAGCCTGAGATTAAGATTGAAACAGCCTGAGATTATAATTGAAACAGCCTGAGATTATAATTGAAAGAGCCTGAGATTATGATTGAAACAGCCTGAGATTATAATTGAAACAGCCTGAGATTAAGATTGAAACAGCCTGAAATTAAGATTGAAACAGCCTGAGATTAGGATTGAAACAGCCTGAGATTAGGATTGAAACAGCCTGAAATTAGGATTGAAACAGCCTGAAATTAGGATTGAAACAGCCTGAAATTAGGATTGAAACAGCCTGAGATTATGATTGAAACAGCCTGAAATTAGGACTGAAACAGCCTGAGATTAGGAGTGCTTTGGTCAAACCAGGGTGTCTGGCAAAGCTGCAAAGAAATCAAGAAGACAATTTGAAAAACTTGATTCAAATTGAGATTTAAAAAATAAAAAGGTGTTGCATCCCACAAAACGACATCAATATAATCAAATCGACTTAGAAACAACTTAAAGTGAAGTTTTTACTTTCAGTTTTTACTCCAATGAGGTCTTAGTCTTACTCAAAGTGTGCTGTGCTGTCTGTGTATGTGGATACTTATTTAATACAACTCAAAACAGCAGCAACAAGAAAATCCTTGCTGTTCAGTTACCATCCAGGCTTTGAAGAAAACCTCTATATGTTTGGAGAAAATAAGGACTTTTTTTTGTTCCCCCTGGACGTGTTTATCACAGATATGCTACCTGAGAAAACTGGAGAAAAATACCTTTTGTAAAATAGGTGTAGACCTTACTCTGAGAGTTCACTGACTGCAGATTTCTGGCTGSAGACAATGGAAACTCAGCAAATTCACCAAAAGCAATTTAGAATTGGAGACAGGTAATACATAATTTGAAAATTAACTTAATCAGGGGTCAAAACCACTAAAAGACCTAAATCATAACACTGGCGAGAATGAGAGAGTCAGAACACTGTAATCTTTAGAGATTCTTAAATGGGATTTTTTTCTCATAATTAAAAAAAAAATACATAAACTTTGAATTTCATAGCTCTTATGCAGCAATTCCAGGTTGTTTCCAYAGTGAAGTTATATATGAATTTTGAGTAAATATAATTTTGAGAGTCAAGGAGACCTAACCTGCATTTGTAAAGAGGTTACCTCAGTTTATTTACATCTAAAGTAATAGAATGCAACTATTTTGTAATGCAGAATGTTTCATGTGGAAACAATTTAAGGTGAAATCATCAGTATTAGCAACAGGCAGGGTGGATAAACTACTAAAAGGTTTCAGTTCTACGTGCTGAACTTAGGGCTGAATCTTGGTGATGCCTGTCTGAAAAAGCAGTTGAAATTATGCAACCTAAAATTTAATTTTCCAGCTTCTTGGAAAGTTGGAAGTCACTGATCACAGGAATTCATGTTGAAATTAATATAAAAGTGAACAATTCTACTCTGCTTTGCAAGTATTGTTCACTTGAATATTACACTTTTGTCTTTGTGAATTTGATGAAATATGGACGTGCCAGGTGAAGGAAACAATAAAAGTATTATAGCATYTTGCAACTTTTTAATTAGGCTAAAGGAAGCCTAGACAGTATTAAAAATGTTATGAAGGAGTTATTAATCTTTATTTTAAWTTATAGACTTTCATTCTTTTCCCATTTTAGGAATCATAAGAAATTAATTCCATGAGAAAATGCAGATCTACTACATGCAAAAGATCAAAAATAACTTTTCTTTAGCTAACTTTTCCTTTTCTTGAAAGAATGAAAGCCAATTTTGTGCACAGCAACAAAGGAAAAAAAAACGCTTTGTGGTGTGTAATGTTCCCATTTCTAGTCTTGTAGTCATAAGATTTGAACTTTAAAAAYAGTAAAACTCACTCGTATTTAACAATTCATGTCCAATTTCAGYTTCAATCTGAAATTAATAATTTGAATCAGAGTTCAAGATCAAGAATTACTCTCTATTTCCATCTTTTGTTAATACAAGTACTTAAAAATAATATAATAAAATAATAAATATACATATTTTTATAATAAAAAATTAATATAAAAATATTTTTATAATAAAAATAATAAAATAATACAAGTACTTACATTCCTTATTTTTAGATTCTTCATCATTAGGATTTTTCAAGCTTTTCCCCTCCCTCCTACTCTTATTGCTGTATTCTTCTGCCTCTGTCTTCTGAAGACTTGTTCTGGCAAGAAATGCAATCTAAATCTGATCATGTCTTTAGTTTCATTTTCCTCTATTTTGATTGTGATTTCTTCCCCTGTAATAATAATAATAATAATAATAATAATAATAATAATAATAATAATAATAATAATTTAGCATGATTTTCCTTTCAAAATCTTGAAACATCTGGAATTTTGCTTGTGTTTTTGCAATCCTGTCTCTGGGGCTTTTTTCCCTTGATCAGTGGCTGTAGTGTGTGCCCCTTTTCTTAGCCAGATCTTTTTAGATAGATGGATATTTAGTTCATTTTTACCTTTCTTAAACCCTTCAGTTATTTCATCCTTTGGTCTGAAAGAATTCCTAGAACTCTGTTTCATAATTTTACTTCCAGTCATGTCCTTTTTTGCAGAAAACTCTCTACATTAAATAATTTCTATACCAAGTAATTCCAGCTCGCATCTTGAAGAGACTGCATGTATTTATAAGCTTTTCTTATCAATTTTCTACAGCATTTTGGCTAAACAGATCATTTTTGTACTGTATTATTAAGCATTTCTGTGATGTTCATCCCTTTATTTTTTCTCTCAAAACCAGCTGGTTTCCAGTTGGAAGCAGGAATATTTTTTTCTTCCTCTCATGAGTGCAGGACAGCAGTGCAGAGTGCTGCATCAATGTACTGACAGAAGTATCTGTCACTGATAAATAAATCTCACAAAATGTGAAGTGTTGTCTGGTAAAAATGTCTTTTACGACTTTTTTTTTTTTAATCTGTCAGATCTCTGTGAGTCACTTATCACTTCAAATTCCAGACAATCTTTCAAAAATTCAGCCAACTCATAGTAGGGTGCTTCTTTTTTTTTTCTTTTCTTTTTCTTTTTTTTTCACAAAATAATAGTTGATTGATGACTTTGGTTTGCCTTCTCTTAACAGTGACGAGAAGCAAAATCTTGAAGGCTTAGTCACGTTGATTCTCTCTTACATTACAAACTGATGTGGGTTAATAAATAATCATTTGCAAAGACTGAGCCCTATAATTCTTAAATATTAAATATTGAGTTTTCAGCCATGCAAATGCCTGATGGATGGTGGCATTATTCCTTCACCAAAAAAAAARGGAAGGCAACTGAACTGCGGTCTCATAACTTACTCTGTAAAAATTAAATTCCACTTTGCATCAGTTATTTTAATAAGCTATAACTTTTTCCTATGACTTACAGAATCCATGCATGGTGTAATTTGCATTATTTGTTGTGCACCCATAAGTAAATTCAGCAAAAAATAATTATTTGGGAATGTTCACAAAGGCTTTATTTCCAAACCACCCATTTTTTCATTTTAGTCTAAATCAGTTATTTGAGGGTGGAAAATACCCAGACAAAGGTTTTCATGTCCTGAATTTTTAAGAGCCAGAAGTGTGTGCTGCCATCTGAATTGGGCTGTGGCTGTTGTGTCTGATTGGGTGTTTTCTGTGAATTCAGGGTGTATTTTTGTTGGGATGAACGYCCTCATCCTCCACGGGAACGTGCAGAACCATTGTTGATGTGGCACATCCTGCAGGAGATGGGAATGTGCAGCATCTGTCACAAACAGTCCTCTTTTTGTCTCTGAGAGAAGAAGGAGCTGACTCAAGGAACCTGATAGTCTTCCAAAGAAAACATCTGTTTTAAATATATTTGTTTGGATTCCAGTCAGAGCACCTAGGCCTTGCATAATTAGCTCAGACTACAGAGTTCCCTTTTCAGGAGATACATTTGTATAAATAAGCCATGCATATTTCATTAAGCAAATACTCCTCCTCTCCTCCTTTCTATTTTTTTTTTAATTATAAATTCAGGCTTGTATTTTAACATATATTTTTGCAAAGCAAAGATCAATTGAGAATCTTTTTCAACACAATTTTTTGTATGACATTCATTTGGCTGCACTTAYAGTGAAGAAGTGTCTTGCAACCATCTGATCAATATTTCAGTGAATGAATGTATACATTTATAAACAAGCTTTTGATGCCAGTAATTGATTATTTACTAAATCAAATATTAATGTTGTACTTTTTTGCTAGTTTTGATACTAGCTTATTTTGATGTCTACATTATATTAAATGTAGAGAGTTTAAAAAAAATGAATTATGATAGTCAATGCTTTAAGTTTACCCTTTTTAAAGATCTGATTGACTAAAAACGCCTAAAATACCATTTTTATTTCAACTYAAGCAGCTCCTTAGAAGATCCAAGAAGAAATGAAACTCAGTTAGTGGTCCTTCCTCCATTCATCTTGTGCCATTCCACACCACATGATTCCACTGAACCTGAATCTCTTCTCATCCAACTGTGCAACATTAGAAGGATTCTTTTCTAAAATTGGGTTAATGATTATGCATACCTTTGGTAGGAAGATCAAGCCACTTGCAGTTGGGAATTAAATCTTTTTTACTTTGGGGCAAATTCAGCCTGGAGTGACAATTTCAGAATATGTWTCAGGTGGGCTCAAGATGGTATTTCAGGCATAAAAGCAGGTTCTAGGCCATTTCTTGCAGTTCACACAACCCAGATGAGACTGTTCCTGGTTGGATCTGTTATTTTTTATTTCACATCTGATTTCAGGTCAGTGCTAGACCTGCTAGAGTTACTCCTGGCCTGGGTGTATTCATGTGGGGCAGCATGATTCGGTTGTGAATTATCTCAAAGCCCTGCTTATGCTGTGTCTGTACAGAATGATTATTATGTGAGAAGTGCAGTTGCATTTTTGGTGGAACTTTTTTGGATTTTCTTGCCATTTTCAGCAGTCCTCAAGCACAGACTGGGTAGAGTGCTGTCAATAATTCAATGTGCTCCTTCCAGCTGTGCCTGTGGTTGGCAGAAGTTGGTTTAGTGTCTCACTTTCTGCTTGTGGGGCATTCTAGTCTCAAATTTACTCRTATTTATTTCTATTTTTCACAAGCAATCATGTACAATAGCTCTGCCTGGTACTGAGACTGTAGTGTTGGCTCTGACTTCCTTTTGCTGTAACTCATGAGATAATAATACAGATTTTRTTTGTTTGATGTTGTGTAGGTGTTCACTCTGTTATGGATTGCTGACTGGATGGTGCACCACTTCTGGAAGAAAGGAAAGGACCCTGACAGTTTTTCTATCCCATATCTCACTGCACTGGGAGATCTGCTTGGCACTGCCTTATTAGCAATAGGGTTTCATTTTCTGTGGCTCATAGGGGACAGGGATGGTGATGTTGGTGACTAATTGTTCCAAAGGATGCAATGACTTTTCCTGGAATATTGGCAAGACCAATCACTCCACTTGAGGGTCCTCAAAGTGTTTGTTCCATTTCGTCTGAGTAAATCTGGACATTAAACAGCCTTAATAAATTCAGTTTGGTTTGCTTTTAAAAACTTGGATGGACCTAGGATACCYGAGACCTTTATTCTGAAACCAAGGTGAACTGCTGGTAGTTGAAGAGATCTGAGTAGACACAGTGAAGGGCAGATCAATCCTTTATCAAGTTTCCAATTTTTTTTTTTTTAAGATCTGATCTTTTAAAAGAACAGTTCTTTACCTTTATTGCGAACCAGAGCCATCTCTAATTGCTCACTGAGTGGTGGTGAAGAAGAGGATGAGACCAAAAGTGGGTACATTTTTTTCCATTTTGCCACAAGAGAGGATAACAAACCTCAGTTTAATTCATTTTCACAGACATTGCCTCAAGAGCTGATGATTTGTTCTTTCCTTGCAATTTCAGTTCTGTAGCTCTCTGACCATTGCAGATGATACCAATAATGACTATTATGGTCCACACACTTTGTCACAGGCTTTATTTTCTGTATGGGAGGATGACCATCAGCGTTTATAAAATCAGACACTTGAAAAGTGTCYGCAGGACTGAGCCCGTTTTCTTTGTGCTAAATGAGCAATCTGATTATTTCCCTGTTGCGATTTGTTAGAATGAAAATAGTAAAAGCAAACAATAATGTGACACTGACCTGGTCAAAAACAATGGGTGAGTGATTAAAACTCCTCGTGTTGGGAAGTGTATGTTCATTTAGCAGCTGAAAAGATACTTAATTAACTGATATTAATGGTGTTGTCATGGCCAGTATCCTGATTTTAATGAAGTATTTCAAGGTGTTGCCTTCACTGTATATACTGATCCCTGCTTGGAACTCGCAATGTAAAAGATGAAGTTTCTGTTCTAGACACTTAGGAAGTTACATAAACTTCTGGAATTCCAGAGCTACGTCATCAGAAAGCAGAAATCTCTGCTTTCAAGCCGTGGAAATTACATGGCCAATAAGGAAAATGCTGGCTTTTCCTCTTATTTGCAGACCTGAATATTTCAAATAATACATTGATCACGAGGASTCTGGCTGCCACTTTGATAGAAAAGGTACTAATTGCTTTATTTTAAAATCTACTGGGAGTTCCTCAAAGCATATGTTTTAACAACTATAGCATACATCCTAAATGCCTAAWTAAATAAACAAATGGTATTTTAAATGTTGTGATTGAAAGTTTTAAATTTTGAGATTTGAAATTAGACAACTGAATCCATTGATCAGCAGATGTTTTAATCCTGTAAACATGAGTCATGTGCTTCATGCATACAAATGCTTTTTAATTTGATGGAGCTACTCAGATGAGTAGATGACGTGGATAAAASTGTTAATGGGACTTCTGTATGTGTTGGTCACCTAAAACTCTTTGGAAGTTCAAAGTGTTTCCAGCTTTGAAAATWAAACCAGCTATTCAGTGCCTACACACGGATTTAGATGCCTAAATTTTGGCTCCCTCGTTTAAACCTTTTTATTTAAGCGTTTTCCTACAGTTATTATAATATAGATGTTCRAATGAATCACTCGTATTATGTCTCTTATTATGTGAGAGAAAGATGAAATCTTTCTAACTTCACGATCTCTGACTTTTCTTAGTTTGTATTAATGTTATTTAAAATAGTTTCTTGTATGTAGCATTGCGGGAAATATTATTAAATTGTTTAAAATGGAATTGATGTAACTCAAGTTTTTTTTTTCAGTTGTTATTTATTTTTGATACAGCTGTAGATGCATTTTTTTTTAATTTCTGTTAGAACTGCCATCTGAATTAACTAAACTGACATTTCAAGTGCTTTAATTAGAGTTACTGGATTTTAAGATAATTTTTAAATTAATTGCAGGGTTCTTAAAAATTAAAATTTCTTGAGATACTTGGGATCTGTGCTTCTCTGATGCATGAGGGAGCTCTAGTATTTAGTCATGGCAGTATCCCTAGTGATTWGTATCCTAAATATTTTCCCAGAAAGAAGCAACTCTTGGTACAGTGTGAGTGTTTAAATCACCAAATGGGGAGARAAATCTTACATGGGTCAAATTCAGTAAAATTTGAGAAAGGGAAATCTATTGACAGATTGGAATAATCTGGATTTGGAAACAATCAGCGATGGMAAAGTGTAAAGGGAAAATTTGGTGCTTCAAAAAGGGGAAAGTCCATGGCATGGTTGAGAGAGCAAAACCCATAYTGTGGGAAAGAAAAAGGTGCAAACTTTCACACAGCATTCATTATGAGAGGCAAGAGCAAACAGAAGGAAATTATTTGGAGAAAAAAAAATCAAAAGGCACAGCCAAACTTGTGTCTCAGGAAGGGAAGAAAAATATAACTCATGTTGAAAGGACTCAGGGAAGAGGTGTAAAAAGAGATACTTTAGGGATTGGTGAAAGAGAAAAAAACAAGAATGTTCTGAGTTATGATTAAAGAGGACTTTGAGTGAGGAAAGAAGTATGACACTGATAAAACAGGGAAACCTTGACATCTGGAAGAACGAGGATAAGTAATCCATGATGAGGAAAAGAGTTGGATTCCTATGGGAAAGGAGCATTTTAGGAACTCCCAAACTTGTRTTTGCAAACTCTGCTGCCCTGTAATGCAGGGTTGTGAAGGCAGAAAGCTCTTACACATTTCATCTATTCCAGCCCTGAGGACAAWATGGGAGAGCATTTGGACACCAGAGAATTTTTTCAAGTACTCAGAAGCTGCACTCTCTAAACCAATTTTAACTCAAGTCAACCTCTTCACAACGTTCCACCTAATTGATTTTTTAAACACAGCCCAGTAATAGTGAATTATTTCATTGAATGCATGTGTGGGTAAGAAATGTTGCCAGAAATTCTGTCAGAGACAAATTGTGTGCTTTTTGTACTGCTCAAAACACACAAGTGAAAGGAACATCCTGAGATGTGTTACTGTCTCTTTKTATCAAAGCAGCCATATTTTATAATCTTGCAGATAAAATTATGATTCCTGCTATTAAAATTCATTAAGTCTTTTCCTCCTCTCCACCTGCAAGAAGATCCTTTCAAATCTTCCTTTATAATCTTTATATAATCTTTATATATATATATATATATATGTATATATATAATCTTTCTTCTTTCAATATATGTAGATCAATATTTTGATTTTTATGGCATTACTGTGTACCTTGTCTTAATCTGTGATGTTGGAATTGGCAAAATAATCTCCCACTCCCATGTTCAATATATTCATTTCACTGGGATTTTTAGAATGTTGATGAGATACTGGTGAGCAGCAAATTAATTTCACTCCTTTTTTACAATTTACAAATAAAATTGGAGTTTTCTGATGCAAAAAATTAGAACAGCAAGAGGATTTAAAATGCAGGATAATTTGCAGAATCAGGATTCAAAGGAAGACCTATCAACCTTTTAATTTATTTGCTCTTTCATTTCAGTTGTGAGCATCACAAAAAGCTCTCTTAARTCCCAGAACATCTCAGAATCCATGTCAGGAAACAGTGGTATGAGCCCTGTGTGAAATGAGGCATTAGAAATTCCTTATTATTATTATTGTAATGGTAAAATTGCTATTGCAAATGAGACAGTCCMTTTAGAGGTGCAGGAAATGGCAACAGAACTTGGTAATTGAATTGTAACCTTCTTGAAAAAAAAAGGAAAGTAACGTTCACAAACAGTACCAAAAGGACTGGAAGTGCTGTGAGGTCTCTTAGTGGGATTTTTCTTTTATTTCTGGCTCGATTTTTTTTGTGATACCATTCATTGTTTCAATTGGGTTCTCTAATCCATTCCTAATCACGTCAGCCTGTGCTCAGTAATCTTTTGCATTATCATTTTCCCACATGTATTTGAAGTTAAAAAAATCAGCTTTTTGTGTAGATAGTTCAGTAAAGAACTGGGAAAGAAATGTGTTTTGGCATTAAAGCCTCCTTCTGATAGTCCTAAAGGAAAGTCCTTCTGTTAAATTCAATGAAAATTTGATCATCCTGGATGCTGTGCATGAATGCTCTGGGGAATCCAGTATTAGCAAGGCATGAATAATTCACAATTAAAGCTAAGAACCACTGTGTTTACTAAATACACAAGATTGCCAATATTCTGGGTGGTACCCAGAGCAGGAATCACTCAGCATTGGCAGAGCTGGAGGGGCTTTATCTTCTCTGCAGATAAAAATTAATTATTTTATTTCAACTCCTGCTAGTTGTGTATTTAACATGCAGGCCAGTTCATCATAGCCTCTGCTTATGCTTTTATTTCTCACTCCAAACTACACTTGAAATCAGCTTCTTCCTTTATTTAGCAATCTTCAACTTGCTCTTTTGGGAGATTGTTTCCTCTTSAGGAGTTGCTTGAAGTCTTGAGAGGTCAAGGAAGTGCTTTCCTTGAATGATTCTAAATCTGCTTTTTTTATTTTTTTTTTGCAAGGGAAATAGGGTCCTGGATGGCTTGTATGGTAAACATCTACTGACTTCCAAATAGATCCTCAAAATTTAATAATGCTAAGTTTTCAGATTTACATTCTAACTTTTTACTGTGAATAGGATCTTAAAAGGATTTTGTCTGTTTTCTTTTTTCAGCCATCTCCTGGTTCAGATTAATGATATTTTTGCCATGTCCCACCTACAGTAGGATAGTATTTTAATAAACCTGACATTCTGAATGGCATTTCAAAAGTTAAGAGCAATAATATTTGTTTCCTACTTGAGCAGCAATCATCCACTGCTTTCCTATGAATCTTCATACTRTGGTTAGCTTTAGATCACCCAAAGCCCTTTTATCCCCTTTTTATTTYGGCTTTCTAATTATTTCATTACCTCATCCTCAAATTCCTGCTGAGATTCTGATTCTTCACATGGCCTGGGAACTGCTGATACCTCTGTTCCCATATTTTCATGTCTTATTAGAGGCACAGAGAGATGGAGAAATGTCCATCAGTTCAAAGGAAGGCCAGTTCTGCTGYTGGCCACCAAAATTGCGTTTTAAACATTTATTAAAACCTGTAAATATTTCAAACTCCTTTTGACTTGAGATTATTGCATTACATAAATGTTTAATAGATCCAGGAGTTGCATTTGAAGCACTGATTAATGCACACAGATACCTCTGGAATTTGTACAGCTTTTAGACTGGCACTAAGAGAAACAAACATTTTTTAGCACTTATTACAGGAGGGAGAAAAATGTCCTATTGTCACAATGATGTGAGACAAAACTAATGAATGCTCACCTTTCTGGCTGTTGATTTTTTATTCAGCTCTAACAGAATTGCATCCAGTKTTCTGGCACGTTATGGAATGGAGGTGTTCAGCAAAAGCTCATTTTTAGTTTTCTGTCWTTTTCTGGTCATGGTCAAGTCTCCTGCTGGATAAGGATATCTGTTTGTAATCCATTTTGTYACACCCATTCCTATATAGAAAGCTTCTGCCACACATAAGAGATCTTTTTACCCCCATTTCTTCTCATTCCCCAGTAAAAATTCCTCCCTCTTTAAATGGTCTTCTGCTGTTCAAAACCAAGCACAAATTGACTCAAACCTGAAACCAGGCAATTCTTTTAGGAGTGTTCACCTGAATGCTTTCCATCTTTACATCATGAAAAGTAACACAGATGCTGCAAACYGAGTCTGGTTTTATAGTTTTAGTTATAGTTTTAATCAGCTTCCACAGAATACTGTTTTATATGTGAACATTTATAATTTTAATCAGCTTTCAACCTCCCTGCTAAAGATATGTTGGGTGACATGAAGCAACTACAATGAGCAAAGCAAGATTGTTCACCCCACCATGTGCTAAACGTTTTCTCAAATTTAATCCTCACAAGGAGACTCCCCAAACTGAGACTTTTCCATCCTAAATTTCCTCCCATTTTGCAATTCTTTCCCACAGTTATACAGATTTAATTTCTCACCTGAACTGCACTCAGCTGTGCCTCCTAATCTTTGCACCATTGACTTCAGGGGCTTTTTTCATTAAAAAAAAAAAAGGTGGATTTAATTTTTGAAATTCTCCTAAATGAAAAAAAGGGAGGCTTTAAAAGGCTTTTAAATGCTTGGTAATGATACACAGAGAAGTAACATTTCTGTGGTTATCTAGAAAAATAAAATCAATTCAAACTAGTGAAGTTGTTATGTCCTTCCACATAATTGAAGGCAAATTTCTTACTAAATCATGAATAGCTGTAATTCCTGAAAGGAATAGATTTTGTTTTTCTTGAATGGGGGTCTCAGCATTTACCTGGRCATTAAACAGTTCTTGCCTCTCCATGGTGCAGCTGCTTGTTCTGATTTGACCTTTCTTTCTAAATTAATTTCTTTGACGTTTAAAAAAATTCAGTGACTGATTTCATTCATAGAGCAATCACCTAAAAAACTCCTCTGCTTTAGATGTAAAACTAAACCAGTTTTAGCTGGAATAGTTATCTGCTAAAGGAAATCTGACTAAATTGAGCCTAAGGAARGCTCAGGTGAAGGTTAAACCCTGACTTTGCACGAGTTTTATGGGAAATTGGGGCTGCTGTGGGTTGCAGATTTTGACTTGATGTAGAGTTGCAAATTCCTGCTGACAGCACTGAGACCTCTTGCTGCTAAAAAGTCACAGTAAAATTCTAGTTTTTAGAATAAGCCAAAGCCTAATGACTAAACTGTTATTATTCAGCTATATGTTACCCTGACAGCTTTATGTATTTGTGAAAAAAATAGAAACCAGGGCATAAACTTTGGATTGATTTTTTTTTCTCTGACTGAGGAAAACAGCTTTGGTGGGTGTTTGTTTTTTAATTAAAAACACTGATTGAAATGAGATTTTTCCAACCCACATAATTTTACTGCAAGTGCTGTGTCTCATTTTCCAACAGGATCTTCCCATTTGTTGCACAGTGACAGGATGTGAGCTCTAAACACCTACAGGAATGTTAGCTGGGGTTGTTTTTACTCAAAAAAAATTGGGGCAGTCAATGTCAAAGTCAGGAATGTTATTAAAATGTCGGCAGAAAACATTTTAAACAATGTATAAATGAATGGTAATATTTTCTGTATTTTTTTCCTCTGTGAATAAGTCATTACTCTTGGTTCCAAATGCCTCTGACTTGGCCAGCAGAAGTTTTTTATTGGCACAGAGTTGAATCTCAGAGTCCAGAGGCTTGAGCACACCGAGTGACATTTCAATTAATAGTGGAAACAGCTGACTTTTTGTCATGCCAGCAGGGAAGATGAACTTGAATTCTCTTTTAACACAGATTTCCTTTTAAAACTCATTTGCATGCAGTCTGGGGAGGCAGCATTTGGATTTGTTGTGTTTYAGCGCACGGAGGAATAAAACCAGACTCTAATATTTCAAAATTTTTCAATCTTTGGCAAAGCTGTTCAAGTGGAAAAGTGAGATATTTTTGTGTGGCATGAGGATGTGTAACACAACTGGTGAGAAAGGCACGGTGTTGCTGCTGTGCAAGCACATGCTCTGATTTCTTCTCTGCTGCTGCACTTCCCCASTTTTATCTTCTTTCCCCTCCCTATTCCTCATATTTTTAATTCTATATTTAATTCTGATTTATTTAGAATTAGAAATTCTAATTTATTTAGAATTGGGAATCTAATATATATATATATAATTTTAATTTAATGTAGTTATGATGGAAKTGACTGAAATGTATTTCCATCCAAACAAAGGCTGGGTTCGTGTCTACACACCAAACATGTGCTGACCACAGAAAAGGCTTTTCTCAAACTCTGTGTCATCATGTCCACTGGACTTTGCTCAC